GAGAAGGCGATAGATCTCTGGAGGCAATAGAAACGCTGCAGACTTGCTTAAAGAAACTCCACCCCAACAGGCTGTCTGGTCAGAGGCTTTTACAGGATGGTCATCGGTGTCTTAGACACTGAGCCTTTAAGGCTGCTCAGAGAACAATCAGTGCAAGTTAAAACACAATGTTCCTGCTGTGCTGGTACTCACAGTTTTCCTCCGACTGCAAAAAAGCAACAGCACTGGCAGTACAATTATGGGAAAACTGAACACTATTTGGGATGCTATCATTTTATGAAAAAAAAATGGCAATACAGCAAAATGCTTATGTTATATTATTATTAAATGTATTATACATTCCTTGTGTGTATCAAAAGTTACTGTAAAGAATTTTTTCCTGGTATCTCATAAATTTTAAGAATAATTTTTTTGAAAATACCATGCATAAAGAAAATGACAAGATGATAAGCAGCTAGAGCAATTTTTTTTTTAACACTGACAACAAGTAGATGATTAATAAGTTTGAAATCAATGCTAAAATATGTTACTAAAATGACACAAAATTGTTCCAAGCAATCTTCCCATAACTGTTTTATGCTGCAGTCTGTAGTACATATATAACTCTATTTTTTCTATCAGAATTTCTATAGAATTTCTATTAAAAAACTATATATTTCCCAGACATGCAGTACATAACAGAATATGACCTTGAAGAAAACAAAACACTAAGAGAAGCCACTAGGACAGCAAGCCAGGACCTGCTCCCTTCTACAGTCAAAGCTGGTTTGTTTCCAAAATAAATTAATATTTAATGATGCATTTTCTATTACTGAATTTTGATATTCATGCCTTCCAAACTGTATCTCAAATGGGACTCAACCAAAATTTAGAAAAAAATTAATCAAAGTGATTTGGAATATCTGTCTTCAAAGTCTTCAACACTTCAAGCTACAAGGCTTCCCAGGTGTCCCATATCTCAACAGCTTCTCCTGCTCAGAAACACACAAGGCTGAGCTGTGCATCTCTTGTCTAAGCTACACCACAACAGAGTGTGAATGTGCCTTATTCTGTTCACTGGAGGATTTGAGTCCTTAAATATTTCTGTCACAGACTGACAGCACTGCATCTAAAACCCCAAGGGCTGCTCATGGGTTTGTTTCATCTGGAACCCCAAACCTGCCTCTTGCTAGAGCACTCCCTCATGTTCAGAACTCACCTCTGCCTTCCCTCTTATTTTCTTGCACATTGAGATAACTCCTAAAAAGAATGCTTTAACTTTGTGTGGTACTATCGCTTCACATTTTTCTTTGCCATACAGGGGTCTTAGATTACAAGTCTTAAGCATGTGTACAGGGTCTGGAGTTCCACAAATGATTGTGCACTATCATTTATTTCCAAGAAGAAATGCAAGGTATTTTGAACAACTAAAATTATTTCATAATTTAAGGTAAGAAATTAAATTCATTATCTATTATGGCTACCTATTTGAAATCACAGACTACTTGAAACCATTTTTAATTAGTATAAGAACAGAAAACTGTAATAAATTATAGTCACAGAACTTCCTTTAAACTTCCTAAAACACTCCTGTAATTTATTACTGATTTTTGTATAGACTACAGCAATGAATCAAATATAAAATAATTCAAACTATATATTAGTACAATGAAATGTCAAAGAACTGAAGGAGCACATACATCTTTACTGCAAGGCACATCTTAGGCCTACTGAATATAAAGTTCATTTTTACACCCAGAATACAAACTCTAACTCTCATTCTCTGTATTGAAAAGAGACTTCAACTAACAGAATTTAAATGAGTAACTGGTATTAGGAATGATTATTTTAAAAAGAAAAAGAATAATAATTATTTATAAAAAATATGATCATTGTCAAATTATTGCCCATCAGCAACCAACATACACCCTTCTGACACAAAAATAAACCAGAGTAAACCTTCATTAGATGGAAAGCTTTTTAACTCCACAATAACAAAAATGCTACAGATTTAAAAATAAGTAGTATGAAACTTAGTAACATCTTGGTAACATTCAGGACTCATAGTATGGTAAATATCCATAGCCATTTGGCTACATATAGATCATTTTCTTATATAATTGGAATACTTTATCTTCACCCAGTAAATCCCTGCTTTCTAGATCTCAGACTCCCAAAACTCTGTTGAAAATTAGGACTGGAGAAAGACACATGGAATCAGCTACACCACTGCCCATTTCCAAAGCTAGAGATGTTTGAAAATTTGAAAAATATAGTGTGATAATGCAGATTTCTTAACATCTTTAGGCAATCTATTTTACAGTTTAGTCAGTAGAAAATTTTGCTTGTATTCCACCTTAATCTTTCTTGTTCCAGTCTAACACCATTACTTCCTCCTCAACCAAAATGGGAGGGGGGGAGAAGGCATTTTATCATCATTCTCCCTTTTCAGTTTCTCTTCATGCATTTGAAGCCTGTTATTATGCCTCCATCTTTTCTTTTTCCTTCTTTGAGGTTTGTCACATTTATTAAGCCTGCATCATATCAGGATGCAAAGCAAGTCCTTAAATCTGTTTCAAAGCGATTGAAATGTCAGCAATTATAATGAGTGAAAATACATAAAAGTCAATTTTTTTATCCATTCTTTAATCACAACTATTCAAAACCTTTTGAAACATGAATTATATCTTTCTCCTATAACAACTGTTACTCATTCCATAGTAATTCGATAGCATAACACGATGCAATACCACTACGAATGTATCAGTTATTTGATGACAGTTATAAAGCCATCATTATTACCAAAGTAGGAAAAAAAAATAAATTATATTAGTACAGAATTTTTCCATCCCTGGACAAAGGTCAGAACAGAATTGGTCACTTAGAGGTGAAGAGTCAGCTTCTTTCACAGCTTTTTGAATGACCTCCTACAATTATAACCAGAAAGGATTTAGGAAACTACTAACATAGTTAAGGGGGAAAAAATGTTTTCCAAGGACTACAAGGCTTGCTATACATCTCCTTCTCCTTCCTTTCAAGATCATCAGGGATATAAGGAACAACACAGGCTAATCCAGCCTATAAAAGAAAAGGTAGGTTTTCTTGCAAATCATTTAATCTGCATCACTGACAGTCACAATAAGTTGGAGGTCATATTTTACATATATCATGACAGCAGAAAACATAATATGTGCACTGAATACATAATTACTTTTGTCAGGACACTCTGAAAAGAATATTCTATGTCATAAGAATGTTAGGAAAGTAATTCTTAGTTTTTCTCCCAATGTACACCGCTTTACCTCTCCACTGCAGAGATCAAGTACAACCTCTTTTCCCAGCTTTGACTGCTCTCCAATTCATAACCAAGTTATGCTCTTGTAACTATAGCAACTTGATATATGAAGAATATTACAGTATTAGAGATATACTTTAAGAGTTATACTCATTATCTTGTCATTCCTTTAAAAAGTTTTCAATATGGATCCGCACAGAAATTACTCAGGAGCTCTAAGGAAAAAATGCACCACATGCTCAGGTAGACCTCATACAGAAGGCTTAGTCTTAGCATAAAAGAAAAGTTAGAAAGGTCCAGCCAGAAACTCAGTTGGCAGCAGCAAAGTGACACAAGGTGGAACAATAAGGATGACTGGCTTCGTGATTTTTTTTGTCCTTTGATTGGCTATTTCATATAATTTCCTGTCTTATTTTCTCTTTATTTCAGTCACACATAAGCTCAGTTTCTAGCTGGATTATCCTTTCTTCCATTTATATTTTTTTCCATAAGCTTCTATTTTAATTTGCAACCATGCAGAATTTTTTTTCTGTCTTACCAAAAGCATTACCAGATTGAAGGAGGAAAAAAAACCAAACCAGAAACATCACTTTCTTTATGTTTGTACAGTGCCCGATCCCAACTATATTCACAAACTCCACTTCTATCCCAGTAACATTGATGTGACTTATCTATGGATCACTGCTATTTTTTTCTGCAGAAATCTCTGGCCCACAATTTGGGCACCTCTATGACAGTAATCATGATACTGAAGAAAATCTAACAGTTCACAATGACTCGATTTTTCAAAATATCCTGAAGATATAAACATATTTATTATGGGTTTTATACTGCAGAATACAATATACCCATGCAGATAAAGCCTCAAAATAATTATCGTTTTTATTTTTTAAACCATTCCTTAGTCAAAATAGCTCCTGTTTAAAATCATGTCTACCAATAAAAATATGCACTCTTACAGACTAGGTTTGAAAAAATAAGTTGTAAAATTTATAATGTTACTGGTCTTATAAATTGATTTTAGTCATTATTGCACCATGCATATTTCACTAAAGGTGATGGAATGCTTATTCAGTTGATAGCTAATGTATCCCTGAAGAATAAAAGCTGTATGAATACATCATTTTGCCATAAAGGTGATACAGACAGCAAAAGAACATTTTGTCAACTTCAGGAAAAAAAGAGAACTATTAAGAATTATTTAAAGCATCATAAAGCACCAGCAAAACATTCGATTGTCAATAGGGGTAGACATTAATCTTTCCATCCCCTTGAACACAATTTTTACATATTGTGCCTGAGTTTACCAGATGGGAAGCTTTATGCATTGCCTACTGAGTGCTGAGGAACAAACAAACCCTTTAAATGAATAAATACACCTTAAGAAGTAAAGGTTCTGTTAAAGAAACATCAGTAATGGAGAACGGGACTAAACTTTCTAGTACCCTCCTAGATTCAAAGTCAACTACCTTAGTGAGTTTTCATATTGAATATATTCCTACTTCTGCCATTTATTTCTATGGGAAGGAGTTACTGTCAACTTTAAAACCATCCATGGAAGCAAAAAAGCAGCCCTACAGCAATATACAAAACTTATCTGGGTTACTGGACTTCGTTCTCTCTTTCACTTCAAGGAGAATCCTCCAGTTCAGCAATGGATAAAGTAAACATTGAACAGGAATGTCATTTTGGTATTTTTCTCTTTCCTCCCAGGAGAAGGACTTACCTGTGCACTGTCCTCCATTTGTGGGATCCCCATAATATCCTGGCATGCACGTCTCACACTGTTTTCCTGTTGTGAGGTTTTTACATTGATCACAGACATTGCTGTTGATGCAGGTGCTGTGGCCGTTACACTGGCAAGCTAGAATATAACATTTTAAAAGCTACATTACTAAATAGCTCTTTGGAACAAAATCATACCTATGTGATTACAAAATTGCAGTACAATGTAATTCTGAGTAGTTTAGTCCTGACTAATAACCAGTATATGTTTGTACTTTGACACAGAACCTCTTAAAAATAGCATTGCAACATCAATCCACACAAAAGACCACAAAAGTTGACTTTTTAGTCACATGTGAATTTGAAGTGTGTAAGAAATTGGGTTTTTGCTATTTTTTTCTGCCATCCAGTCCTTATAGTTTTAAAATGCTGTCCAGTCACTTAAGAAATCTTTTAAGAGGTAGTAAGTCACAAACTGAGACTACATGAAAACCCCAATACCTATAATCCATTGTTAAACATCTGAAAGGCTACTGTGATGGAGAACGTGAACAACTCGCAGCCAAATTTTTATCTACTGGGGAGACAGAACTTCCAAAATAAAGTAACAAAATATCATCTTGTTTTTAACAGTTCTGACCCTCTTTACCTTTAGCATACAAAACAATTTTAAGGACATCAGGACCACATCAAACAGCTCCAGTCCCTCCTCACTACAGTTGATTTCAGTGAAAGGAAAAAACCTGGACTCTATTGACATATGTTTTGGGTTTTTTTTTTACACCTGACCTTGAAAGCATAAAATTGCTTTTTGTAAAATAACAGCACTATAAACCACTGATCTTGCACCATAGCTCCACTCCAGAGATTCATGTTTTGGGAAAACTCAGAAAGCACTGATCACTACTGCAGCAAAATCACAACGTGAATCCTGCCAGAATCATTGATCCTGCTGCCAGGTTTTGAAGGATGACCTCCCTATAGAGTGGGACCTCAGAGCTCATCATGCTCAGCAGATTAGTAAACTGTCAATTACAGCAGCCTGTCAAATGTCAGACCATGGCAAACCTGGGTGTAAGACTCAGCAGAGGACTCTTATCTCAGTAAGATTGTATTTTTTTAAAATTTGGATTTTTAATCTAAATGTCACAATGATTCGTGTCTTGGCTAAGAGAAAAGAAAAAGATTATCACTGCATGATTTAAAAGTTTTTAGATCAGTTTTATAATTTAGTAACTTAATATATTTACAGCCATTGCCAGGCTTGGCTCATAAACCATTAAACCTCCCCAGTTGACAGTCTCTTCCTTCTTTTGTAACCGTGCTCAGAGAATCTTACAAACAAGTATCAAATGTTTCTGTACTATTAAGTTTTCTCGCTATTTTGACTTAATTCTCAAACACATTTGTGGTGTTCTCCTCCAGGAGGGTTCCCCTTCTGCAGTTTGTTGCCATTCTCAGGAAAAGCTACACAAAAGCACCATGACCTGCAGCTCCATTTTGGCTTTTGTGTAAATGTCTTACACATAAAATTACTTAAAGGAAATGTTAAAAAAAAAATACAGTCCAGAAGACCAAAAGTAAAACCAGAGTACATTAAATAGTTGTTCTATTAAAGTAAGATTGCCTAATTAAGACTGTATCGTAGTCTACAAAAAATGCTTTATTTAGTTTGAAACTCACTAGTTTTATGTGGCGAAGGGAAAAATATTACAGAAGCCATTGAATTAAAATTTCACTTGATGTAAAATTTCATTTTTATTGGTATTTTCATAGAATATTGTCTGTAATGAATTATACCAACATATTTTATTCTAAGCACAGCTATCATTTGCCATACTTGAAACAAGATTAAAAAAAGACTAAGTCTGTGTAAGCCTATTGAACAGTTTGTGGTTTGGATGAAAATAAATAGTTTATATCCTATAGTTTGAAGATTATTCTGCCACACTGATGAATAGTTGGCTAAACCATTCATGTTCATTCATACATGCATTTAGTTTTCCTTGTAGTCCATATCCATCCTCTTTATAGTGCCTCTGGGCAATTGTGTTGGTGATAAATATTTTAAATTCATTCTCCTTTTCTGTCTGTTCAAATCTTTAAAATTAGTATTCAGCAGGTAGTATAAAAAATATTTATTTTTGTGACTGGTCACTTTGAAATCAATAGTCCTCAAAGAAGCTGTCATAGTATTTTTTTTTTTATATGAATAGAATTTTATCACATTCTTATTTTAACTGAACTATTATTATAAATAAAATTGCAAATGCCATACATGAAAAGAAAAACATTGTTGACATCTCCTCCCATGAGAAGAGCAGTTTAGGTAGAATGCAAGCCCAAGATTTTCTTTAAAGTCTAAATTTCTCCTCTGAAAAGCAGTGTGAATGGATTCTAACTAGTTCATTTAAAACTAGATGAAGTATCTTTACATTAGATCAAGATTGTAACGCAGACATCCTTTTTCTATATTTTCCTAGTTTTAGTGTTTTCTTAAAATTATAATTACCAACAATTGTCAGCATCACCAACCATTGCAACACAGAGGTCAAAAGCAAATTAAACATAAAATTGCTTGTCTCCAGGGCAGCCTCACTGAAGATTCAGCTAAAGCAAATTTTGTGTGTGAGGAGAATTTATTGCTGCCAGTGATGTACATTAAAAGGATTTAAAGAAAAAATAACTTTTTAAAACTGATCTCCTAATTCTTATTTAAATGATCATCACAGGGTCTCATTATTTTAATAACTATTTTAAATATTTAATACTGATGTCTTAAGTTTGATTGCACTGAAACAACTTCAAGATTTATTGAACTGTGGAATTCTTCTGACTTTTCACTTTTCTCAATGAGATACATATTTTTAGGCAAATCAGCAATTATGAAATGTCATTTTTTCAGTGGTGTGTCATGTCAGTTGAGGACTGCATTGGTTCTTATTGTGCATATAATTTTTTGAAATTGATTTAAAAATCTCTTCCATTTTCTTTGACTTAACAAAATGTAAGAATTCAGAACTGTCATATATGACCAGATAATATTATCACTTGTAGCAAATTAAAATTTACAATTAAGGTTGTTTTCATCATCCTTCAAATAACACAAAAATTAAGACAAACAAAACTAAGCATTAGGAAGACTAGAAAAATTATAAATCAATTACCCACTAGTTAGAGACTATTGGAATGAAGCATTTGGAATTACAGTGAATTCTTGAGCAGGATATGCAATGAATACATAATTTTATCCATGAAGAATAAAACATTAAACACAGTAATGAAATCTTCTAACTCAGAGTTTAGACAAGCAACATATTTAACCCTTATAATTTCACTAGTGGTAGAAACTGTGCATTGCACTGAAAGGCTAACAGTGCACTTATCAATGTATGCTTATTTTAACATACAGACTAAGTATTGAAGTTTTCACACAATAGAATGGAAATTGTTTCCAAATAAGGCTTCTTTGTTCAGCAAATGGCATTAGATGATTTGAAGGATTTTTTTGTTTTAACTCAAAACATTCAACAGTGTTCACTTGGTTTTACATTTCATTATTCTAAAACTTAAAAAAAACAACTTACTCTCTCTCTATTTATAAATATGCACATACATATGCACACACACACAGAGAACATGCTGATAAAAAAAGCAGCCAGGAAAGCATAGTTTCATGAACCCATAAAAGTTTTGATGCTTGAGAAGCTCCGGTTTCCAAAATTATCAGCAATAGAACATTTGCTGGGGAAAAAACCCTTTAGCACAAGTACACTATTTATTCCGAAAAAAAGTTCCCAAGTTGTCTTTTAAGCTGTATTATTTATTGTAAATTACTACTGGACTGTCAAACTCCACAGTGTGCTTTACATTTGCCTACACTGCTGCTTTCAAGGTTGGAGTATTTCCACACAGGAGGCTGCACCAGCTCAGCTTCCACCATCCTAAAGCACCAAGTGTCTTCCTTACTTTTCCAATTAACATAAAAACTAAAATTCTGTAATCAGAGTGATATGGCTTAAATGTAGAGATTTTCTTTAAGATTACATAAGCATATGTTCTTTTACTCCAAGTGTCTCAAAGGGTGACTGGAGGCTCAGGTATTTGGCAGCCCCCCATTCTCACAGCCAGTTGTACTTGGGCATGAGGAGCAGGGAAGCTTCTGCCCATCGGCAGTCGCCTATGGATAACAACTTCTTTTATGGATATAGAAGCGAAAAGAAAGCAAGAGCTGAAGCAAATTCATATAGTTGGATTTTAAAAATTGGAAGGATAAGGTGGGTGAAAACTTATTTACAAATAAATGGCAGTTTTGATTAAACTACTTGTGTTACATTTCACATGTGAACTTACATGATAGGAAGCACATTTGTGTTCAATAGACAGAGACTAACAAACTATAAATTTAAAAAATATGTTGGAAAAAGAAATCTCTCATGCAAATGTTATTTGTGTTACTTCAAACAACTATGTTATTTTGGTGTGCTTAAACAGAGAAATGTCTCTTATTTCATATATAAGAAAGAATGGAAGCAGACCTTACCTGGACACTGGATAAAAGACCACTCATAATTTTTCTCTTTTGGGCAAAGACCAGCATCAAGCACCATTTCATTACCAACAGGCTTCATTGGACCTCGTGATGATCCTTCCAAACATTGTCCTTTACCAGTGTTACTGGGATCATTGCACCATCCACACCCAGGCTGTTCCAAACACTGTCCACAGGTCCTCAGTCCAGAGCAGTTTTGAGCTTTATTACATGGAATACAATATTAATGCAATGGGGTTTGTTTGTTTGGGGGTTTGGGTAGGGGTTTTTGTTTGTATTTTTTAGTAAGATGCTAGCATTTTACAACAGTTGAAGAAGACACAATTTAGCACCTCTATTTCCTTGTGCAAATTAAAAAAAAAAATCAGTAACAATCGTAAGAATATCTCAGTTTTCTTTAAAAGTCGTACTTCCACACAAAATACACAGTAGGTGTTTTTTACACAAATAAACAAAGATAATGAAGCAGAAAAATAATATTACACATCTTCATTAAATCCCACAAAAAATATATATCCTTTCCTTATTATTAATATATAATGCACATATTACTAATTTTACTGACATAAACAGCCCTTCTAACAGGAAAACTCTAGAATTCAATACAAGGTCAGTAATCCAAATAAGAGTGATAATATTATTCCAAAACAAACAAACAAAAAATGAAACCAGGATAATTCAAACTCAAACAAAAAATTTTTTTGGATATAAAGTACCTCTGGATCTCACCTGAGTATTCATCTACGAATATGACTCAGTCTCCTTATATAGAACTTTTGAAACAAGCTAGCATACTACACATCTTAAGCTACAAATCATAACTCAATCCCCTTTAATTGAATTATATCTTAAGATTCTCATCAGTTAATCAGGTTTCCTTTTTTAAATTGCATGCTTAAACTCAAATCTCCTTCTAGATCTTTTATACTCTATTCCTTTAGAATAATTAACTGGTCTTCCTCATATTTTAAATATGTTTAGAACCAAATAAAATTCCCATGCTGAAGCTACTGTCATTTCTTATTAATAAGAAATTAACATTTTAGTATCTTCAGGAACACCATTAAAATTACCAGGCTTCTTTGAGCTTTTTCTGCTACATCTTAATTTTTTTAATTAATGCTCTAACACTGAATTAAAATAATATCAGAATCATTTGAACATTGATCACTATGGGTCCCTGTCTCTTTTCACATTAACTTTATGGGCATTCAAAAATTAAATTTTAAAAGCATACATGAATGTAAGAAAGATCCTGCCAGGAAGCCAAAATTATCTAAGTTTCTTCTTAAAAAGAAGAAAGTAGTTTAAAGGTTCATGGAGGTTTTTTGAAGGACACTCAAATGGCTTCTACATGAGTGTAACATCTTAATTTGGCTCAGCTGCGCCAGTACATCCAACTAATATTCTCAGCTACATGGACCACTCTAGTCCACAAAGGGAATACTTTAATCCATGTTATAAAGGGTATACTAAGCAGAATGATTTATTACTAATTTAAAAATTGAGAGTAGAATAAAGCTAGCTTCTCTGACTTCAGCCCATTAAAATAGTTTAAAAGTAGTGGAAACTACAAGAGGAAAAAATACTCCGAAGTCTAAAGACACATGGAGATATCAAGAAAACAGCCAGTTAAGGTTCTGAGTGAATCTCAAAAGCACTTTAATAGAGCAGGAAGCTGGAGCATGAGCTCTTGCATCATTAGACTTGGAACAATCCAAATAGGAGGAAATGTTTCAATTTTCCCAAACATGGGAAAAGAGGCGGGACAGGAGAAGCTCAACTGTTGTTGAAAATTGTCAAGCACATGACAAATCAGTTTTAAACCATCAGAACTGAAGCTGAATGATACGAATTTGGGGGTTTGAATACATTAGAAGATCAGCAGAAAAATAAAGACCATCACTCTGTACTGGCTGACTTGCCCTTTCAGAGATGCACTGTAAATGATCCAAACAAATCTCGTGCTGCTATTTATACTCATGTTGCTATTTATAAAGCTCTGAAGTATCAGCTGCAGTATCTTCACGGAAGATAAAACAGAATCAAAAGTGAAAATCCTCATATATTGTCTGTGGTGGCATTTAGCTGAAGAGAGCTAACTGAGAAGCTATTGCTGATGGAAGAAGGGGATATTAAAGCAGAAATTTTATTTTCCTTGAAATTCTAAAGGTGGTCCAAGATTGTTCCACTGTCAGCTATTCAATCAAAAGTCATAATGGATGGAAGATGTAGAGAAGAGTGGAAATGAAAGTTTTTGGCAAGGAGGTATTAAAATGACAAGATGTCACCAATAAAACAGCATTCTGCATTTTAAACCCAAGCTGTGGAAATAAATGTGAAGTTCTCAGTTGTTATATTTTTTATTTTAAATCACACATACTTGTCTGAATTTCTTTCATTCAGAGAAAAACATCCAAAAGCTCAGAAATTAGTCATTTAAAATAATAATAGAATTTTAAAACCAAGAATGATTTTTTTGAAAACGTACAGTTACAGTCCACTCCAAGTTAAATAGAAACACTAGCCCTTGATAAGGGAATGAACTTAATACTTTAGCAGTAATAATGATATACCTACCTAACAAAATTTTTAAGTCATTTACACTAAAACAATGTCTGAAACATGCTTCATTTAGACATACATTTTCTTTTTTAAATGCAAAATGTCTGATGCTAGAAAACTCTGGGAAAACTGCTTACAGACACAATCTTGTTTTTCTCTAATTTGTTGAACAGAAAATACATTTTTATACAAAATTGCCTTTACATAATGATGAACTGGTATATAGTAAATCCTGTTTGTCTTATTTAATATAAACTTCTACAGATCTGACAAAAAGTACAATCAAATTAAGAATAATATTTTTGTTCCTCAAACAAATTGAATGATGTGCAAACACTACACAAACACACAAACTGAATTGAAAGTTCAGGCAGACATAATATCTGCTAGTTTAAAAACCTAAGTATCATTCATGTGGTGTTCTGTCAATTTTATCTTCAAATTTTCTATCTCTTTATGTTCTGCAACAACTCACTATCAATATTTTATAGGTTACAAATTGATTCCTTACAGGAGAGGAAAAAAAAGTTCAGTGAATGGTCACGAGAGAGAAACCTTTATATAATTACTGCATTATTATTCCACATATATGGACAAGAGATTAAGTGTTCCTATTATTTGTTTATTCCTATCCCAAACATAGACTGATTGATGGTCCCAAGGAACATGTAAACCCTACTACTAGTCCCCACTAGACCTGGGCACTAGAACCTGGATTAATATCTAAAATTTACAAACTAAGCCAATGGTTTACCAGAACAGCTCAACATGCTATTGTTTCATGACATTCTGTGATTATTAAGGATGAAGAAGGAATCTCAATTAAGAGGAATATGGGCTCTTGACCAGTTTAGCCTGAAAGAAAAGCTTTCCAATGCCTTATATTCCTAACCACCCTGTAGCAGCCTGGTACATATTGCCATTTTTCTCTCCTAAGATTAGAATATATCAATGGTTCCTATTACAGACACGTCAAGAACTTACTTAATATTTTTCCTCAGGCTTAGGTGCAAGCAAGTAATTGCCTTTTGTGTTTTGTTTTGGGGCCTTTTTTAATTTGTATCCATAATCAATCAGAATCATGATCTAATTATGATGCTGAAAGCAAGTTGCTTCTTGCTGTCAAGATCATCAATTCTGTCACAAGATACCCAGAAATAACATGTTCCAGAGGCTGTTATCGAAAGACCCTTATGGAGAGGGAAAGGAAGTAAGAAGTAACTGAAAAACTCTCTCAGAGCAGAGCAATATGGACAATTCAATGGTACACTTCAGAAATCCTATATATAAGGTTTGGGTGACACTAGATTGAAGTCCTTTACAGACAGAAAATATTTTAATCAAATCTTGAAGGACAGATTAATTACTAAGAAGCAGTCTTCTGGATGGTGACTGAGGAATTGTTCTAAACAAACCTCAGCTAAGACAAGAATCTAAGGCACCAGGCAGCTTGCTCCAGCACCTACAGGAATTATGGCATGGATATACATTGGAACTGCACGGTGTCAAACTTAATGAGGTCCAGTCACTACAGAATTGGGAAGAAGTAACTTCAGCTGAAATAAACACTGAAAGGTACATCAAGTAGGTTTTTAATTCTCCTAGAGAGGCATTGTGTCAACTTCTGATGAAATGTACTTCCAAAGGGGATATCCAGGGCATAACTTTGCTCCTTGACAAACAAACCACTTGCCTTTTATCCCCAAAGGATGAAATGAGCGACTCTGAATATTAATGCAGCCTGGCCCAGTCTGATCACACAAGACAAAAGTTTTCTGTACCTCCTTTACCTGTCTGATGGCCTAATAGAATTCCTTCTGCTTCCATAGAGAGGACAAACAATCTGCAAGGGTTAATAATCAGCATTTCCAAGGGAGAAGAATCTAAGGAACACTAAGATCATTTGGTTTGCATTTGTGTTACAATATTCTCAAGACTACCACTCTAATTATTATAGTTTTGCTTTTATCTTTGCATGTTAGGAAAATGGTATTCCTTGTGTCAAAGTAAATCAGAACCTGAAAATCAGAACCTTAAGACTCAACACACTTCCTTTTCTTAATAAATTGATGTTCTATAAATAAATTGTTTATCTAATTTTAACAGCGTGCTGTTAAAAAATGGCTCATGGCCATTATTTGGCACACTAACACTGGTCATGCAAACAGGCCTGATAATTTTTCTTTATATGAAAACAATATATACCTTTTACCGTTTCAAAAGCCTAAATGTATTTTATCATAAAAGAATTGCCAGTCTTTTACCTGGATCTAGAAAACACATACTCCGTATTGACTTCTCACATTAGTGGCTATATAAGGTCATTCATTTGAAATTCTTTTCATCTTTAGTGAATGTGCTGAATCCTATTCATACTTTGGAGTGAAAAAAAATATAACAAGTATAATTAATAAGATGGACGTTTCTTTAGATACTCACGGGAGCATGTGGCAGTTTGCCATTCCAGGCACTGTCCATAGGGGAAGGAGATGATATAGGCATTGGAGTCAACACATCTCTTGGTGCTGCTGCACCACATACATTCCATACCATTGCTCGTGCAGTTGGAACATGTTGTTCGCAGGGAGCATGGCTTTTTGCAGGGTCTGGCATTCTGGTTGGGACTGACTGGAAAAGGACCACAAACATTTATAACTATGAACACAAGTTCAATCCCCTTTTCTTTAATCGTATGTTCCATTAGAAAAATCTCTATTGAAGTGACTGCCTCCTTAATTAGCTATAGATAATTTCACCCAAATTTATGCTGCTGTATATAACCATATTTTATAAAAAATATCAAGTAATACTCAGCATAAGTCATACTATAGCTCTAAAAGGCCATTTAAAAAATTCACAGCAGTTTTATCTCTATATTAAAACAAAATATTTAATATTCATTGCCTGGAAATACCAGCTTAGCTACTTGTACGTACATTACATGACATAAAATACATCTCAGACATCTATAACCAGTTGAGTCCCATGGAGCCAATACCAGCTCCAGGATGGGCTTCCTGCCGCTGGCCAAGGCCGAGCCAATCAGGAGTGACAGTAACGCCTCTGAGATAACATTAAGAACAGCAGGTTGTTGTGCAGAATTCCAGCCAGGGAAGAGCGGAGTGAGAACATGCGTATAACAAGGTGGACACCAAGGTCAGTGCAGAAGGAGGGGCAGGAGGTGCTCCAGGTGCTGGAGCTGAGGCCCCTGTGGCCCGTGGTGCAGAGCAGGGTGGGGCAGCTGTGCCCCTGCAGCCCATGGGGGACCATCAGGGTGCAGAGATGTGCCCCTGCAGCCCATGGAGAGGGAAGCCCACACTGGAGTAGATTTTTTTCCCAGGTAGGACTTGTGGCCCCTGTACGGAACCCACATCAATACAGCTCATTCCTGAAGGACTGCACCCCATGGAGGAGTGACCCACGGGACAGCAGATTGGGAAGAGGTGTTGCCTGAGGGATGGACTCATGCTGGAGAGGTCCATCCAGGACTGTCGCCCATGGGAGGGACCCCACAGGAGCAGGGGAAGGACTCCTGTCTCTGAGCAGCTGCAGAAACAACAACTGACCACAACCCCCATTCCCATCCCCCTGCAGAGGAGGGAAAACATGGAAGGAAAGAGGGGTGCAGGAAAGGTGGTTTAAGATTATTTTACTTCTCACTCTTTTGCTCTGATCCTGTCAGTAATAAATTTAAGTAATATTCCCACTTTTAGTCTGTTTTGCCCGTGAGGGTGATCAGTACATGACCTTTTCCAGCTCTCAACCCATGAAGCCTTCAGGGTTTTTTTTTCTCTCCTCTGTCCAGTTGCAGGGGGGAATGAGAGAGCAGCTTTAGTGGGTCCCTGACATCCAGCCAGGGTCAACCCACTACAGCAACGCACAAAATAAATCTGAAGGTAAAATTTAAAGAACTTCTTATGCTCAACCTCACAGCTATGAAGAGAAACAGAGGTCAATTGGAGAATGAAAATGCTGATTTGAACAGTCAAGTGACTATTTGTGACAGTGAACTATAGGCACAAACAAACCTAAAAGATCAAACCAAGAATTTTGATTTTGTCAGTCTTTTAGACTATTAAGATATTCACTAATATTCAGTGAGATGTAGAAAAGAAAAATCAGAATTTTTTAACACCTTCACAGACACTTTCGTATTACAATTACTGTTATCACTGACTATTAATGATTTAGAGGCAAAATATAAGGTTTCTGGTGGAACACAAAATAAGCCATGCAAACCAATTCACAAATAAATATTTGCTGCTTTAGGAACTTTATTTTTTTTCTAGATTACAGCTCCATATTTTTCAAAAAATAAAAAAAGTAATTATTTAATCCAAATTGTCCAAAAATCCCTCTTAGACAAATGAAACCTCAAACTGCTTGCTATTGATGAGAGTATCAGTAACAGGGTGTAAGAGATTGCTTACCAACAGGTTTTTCACACACAAGGCCATCTGCCATTGCAGTGCAGGGATTTGCTTTCAGACCTGCCACCTCTGCTCTCTCCAGATAGGCACAGAAGCCAGAGTCATTTGGCTCTCCAGGAAGCCACTGCAGGGTTGTATTTGTAAAAGGAGACATGTCATCCCAGCCCCAGTAGGAGATGTTGATCTTGCGTAAACCTACCCAAGGTGAAATTTTCTATGAATGAGAATGAAACAAATGAAAGATAATTATTTAAAAAGCCTTTTGTTTTGTTGATTTAAAACATTGCAAAGAACAGCTCAACAGCAACAACTTCACATTTTCAGAATTCATCATGTTCTTATCATCACATCCATACAGTTTTTATCTTAATTGTTCTATGTTGCTGAACATCTCCCTCCTCCCCCTAACACAATCCCAACAAAAACTCCACCTACTATATGCTTTTCTTCTACTAAAAATCTGTGTTCTTTCAAATTCTGATTACTATTATTTGATACGGGTCAAATAGTCATAATGAAACTGTTTGGTTATTTTCCAGTGGCAACTATACTGATTACTAATTGCTAGGCCAATGTGGATAATAAAATACACATAAGTTAACAACAACTCTGAAAAATCAAAGTTCAGGAAAAGGATAGATAATATTCCATCTTCTAAAGTCTATATTGCTAATACTGATTAGGCAATTCAGAGACAGAGATGAAAGTGGCACATTTACAACTCCAGTGCCATTAAATACACGTTGAATACACTTTCATTATTAAATTACAAGTTAGAGAAAATAGTCTAGAAAACATTAAAAGCATTAATTCCAAAAAAAAAGATATTTGCGATGTATCAGTAAAATTACATCACAAATTCTACTAATTTTTATAATTTCATCTTTATACAATTACAAAGACAAAGAAGAGATTTTAAGGAATAAAGGTCTTTGCTTGTTCCAGGACAAATTTACATAAATTACTTGCCCCCATCATTGTAAAAATCTCAAGACACCAAAATCAAACACGTTTCCACCAGTAATCTTTGTGCTGGCAGTTTTTATTAACCCCAGTTTAAACACAGGGAAGTGAGATACAGAGAGACAATGGGGCTGTCACAGGGGGATGGCAGGTAAATACCAGAATGCCAAAACACAGCTGTCTGCACCAGACAGAGAACGGACGTTGTCAGCTCCAGAGCAGATATATTGATCTGATTGTGAATTAGGTTCTTCACTGATTTAATTTACAGGCCAAGGCAAGTAAAACACTATAATATACCAAAAGGGGACCTGCCAGGATTCAAGATCTATGTGCTATTTCACAAGTGAACCAAGAGTTACTGCCATTCTCTGTCAGACTGATCTTTCATCTTTGATCTCACATCTTTCTTTGGCCACTCAGGTTTAACCCATGTCCGGAAAAAAAAAAATAATCTTTCAGCACTCTTAATTCTACATCCAGTCAGAGGAATGCTCTGATTTTCTTTCCCCTCTGCCTTGTTAGACCAAATTGAAATGTGAAGGATTATTAATTTTGCTTCTAAAATACTAGTGTGTAAATATCTTTTTAGAAATTCAGTAGATACATAATCAGTATTCCTGACCTTCCTAAAATGTACTCCCTATGCTCTCTTCTTCTTCTGTACTATCGGTTGAGATCATGATCAAACAAAAACTGCCACAAAAACCCTAAGAGAAAAAAAAACTTAAATAAACCAGAAAATTACTAAGAAATGTTCCATTCCGTAAGCAGTGATGCACTCTTCTCTTGAACAGCAACAAGAACATCCAGCAAATATGCCACTGCCCATTCTTGTGTCTTCTGTATTTACTTCATAACTTGATTGCTACCCCAGGTGACCAACTTTCCAGGTGTCTGTAAGAGCTCCCATATTCTGGATACCAGAAAGAACATGATGCAAACAGTCAAAGTGCAACTTGGGCATCTGGAAAATGGTAGACAATACATCTGTTGTCTTATTTGTTGCCTAGATTGCTGTCCATGTACATAGTCCATGTGCCTCAGAAAACTTTAGATATCTGTGCATATCTCTAGACATCTCTCTGTAGAATGCTGAGTGTGCACACTAAGCATGTATAAAAAAATATCAGGGTCTTAGGGTGAATTGCTGACAAACACATGCCTACTTTGGGATCAAGGGATTCCAGCCAAGAGAACCTTCAATATATTACTGACTGCTTCAATTGCACTGCCAAATAATTTGGCCTCAGCATCAGTATATAAAAAACAAGAGATCCTATTCCAGCCATGGTGAAAAGCATGTTAGGCCAATAATGAAAACTGACACTGCAGCAGTGACATTGGAGATAAATTCTTCTGTTTGAGTAAGAGATTGTCCTGGAACCCCTTTAATGATGATGAAGTCCCAGAGAGAATCATGAAAGCCAAAGCAGCCACAGGAGATAAAAGCAGCATCCCTGAAACGAAAGATTGCTATCAAAGTAACACATACCATAGTCATAATCATTCTTAATAACTGTACTCCCTGGACAGTTTATAGTCATCATGTCAGGCATCTCAAATTCCATATGTACCATCTTTGGCTCTTTGCTAGTACAGGACATCAAAATACAGACCTGAATGCTGATGAGTGTGCTATCAAATACATGCCAAACTCTGACCTTGCAGGCTCGCTTATGCTGCTCTGGGAATGCCAAAGATAGATTATCCAAGTAAGGCCACCCAGATGCCCCAATGATGTACTAAATGTGCATATTCAATTATGTGGCATCAATTCCATGATGTGGTGGGCCACAGGTGATGATTGATGGCAACAGCAGAGATTGTCTGTTGGTATCAGCAAAGTGTAGCAGCAAAAATGACTGCTGCTCCACTGCACAAAAGCACACAGGAAAAATCCAACTGTGAAGAGAGAATTCAGGAAGTTGCACATATGACACCTGAAGCTGCCAGGGTTCTGTGACTATCAAACTAATTTCTTCCAAAAAGAAAAGCATCAATCTACTATAAATTATCTCTCAAACTGAGGAAAGGTTCAGTCATAATAGCTGGGAGTCTCAAAGTACCTGAAGCAACTGAGGGACTTCAAATGTGTTGAATGTGAATGCCAATCCAATTTCTTCTTCAGGAGTAAGAAATAATGAGAGTTGAACATCCTTTGCTTGAACTGTGTGGTTTTTTCATTTAATGCAAAATGAATGTAGGAAACTGATTCCTTTACTTTGATATATTGCCAAAGATGCTTCTGAAGGGGATCAGACAGGAAGGAAATGAGATTGCCAGTTCTCTGTACCCAGAAGTTGCTGATGCAGGATTCTAGGTCGCAGGCCTCTTGAAAAATATTTGCTATCAAACCAGGTGGGTGAAAAGTACACTACAAATCAATGTTTCAGAAAAACACTTGCAGACAGAAAATCAGCCCCAAATGTGCCTATTTTTTTCTTCTCAAGTATACCAGCTTTACTGGAAGTTCAGGTAATCTTTACTCAACAATCTTTACTCAACAAGAAAGCCACTCCTCAGAGAGATTGAAGACTTCTTCTTTCTTTCTATCTAGGTACATTTATAAAAACTCCCTTTATACATAATGTACAATTCATGTTAAAGCAACAACAACCACAACCAAACTTACTAAAAAAAAAAAAGTTATCATTAAAAAAACAAAAAGAAAGAAAAAGAGGACAAAGGAAAAACACAGAGAAGTTACTACAGTAAAATTTTACAGTGAAAGAAAGCAATGCAATACATAGGAGGTGATCAAATCCATCTTGGGAAAAGTTGTAATGCACCTTACTAATGATGCAATGGAGAATATAATCAAATATATCTTGAGACATATTTCATAGCTTTATCCCACTACACTATTTAAAATTCAGAATCATCACTAGAATATGTTTGTCCTCCCATCCATCTTTCTCGGCTATTTTTTAGAAGCCACAGCCCATCTTGGAAACTATATATCTGTGTTTGAAATACAGCTAGCCACAGTTTATCTGTTTTCATAAAACAATCTTTTATAACATTGATAACAAGTTGGTGAAAAACTTTTTTAAGTGAGAAATAAACCTTTACATTAAGAAAGATTTCAGAATTATTTAATTCTGAGAAAAATTTTTGGGCAAGGCTTTATTTTCATCTGACAGAGGAACAAAATTGCAATCATACAATGCATACCAATAGAACATCATCCTGTATTCTCCTCTACAGTCTTACTGAACTGAACATAAGGCCAGCTTTTAGCCATCACAGGAATTGGTTAAATACTGATGACCAATAACTTCAAAAATAGGCTCTTCTCTTATTCTAAATTACATAATCGTAATTTTCTTTTAAATAGTAATTATGGAACTATGTTAGAAAGGAAAAATGTGTAATCTTTACTAGAAAGCTGATATTTCATGTTAAATCTACTGTTTACTCAGAGAATTTAAACCAGATTAAGTTGCCTTGAGATCTACAGTGAAAGGAATCATTTGTAGTCATGACACATTTTTTCAGGTACTACTGCTGCTTCAGCACTAATCTAATGAGGGCTGAATAATTTGCAGATGAGTGAAGTGAACAAGTCTACCTTTACTGAATAGCCAATTACCACTGAGGCTCAAAAACCTCCTTTGTTTCTTAATTATGCAAATTACTTAGGAATTTCATATCTCTTTCAAAAATTATCTCCACCTTTACTTTAATTCCTTTTATTTTGGATCTTAAATTGTCCTGGAAGTGTACGACACAATTCTGTCTCATTTTCTATTATGTGCCTCACAACACATTATTAACACAACAAACTTGTCAAGAATTGTTCAAACTCCTTGATTTCTAGTTACATAGTTATTCTAGGATGAAACACAAAATTAAACTTTGTTAAAATACAGTGGCCTCTTGGTACTGATATTTCCACAAAATTCACAGACTGGAGAAGGGCTGGCAGATAATTTGCCTCTCTTGTGCATCATTATGAACAAAAAAACCTGCTTCCTGCAAATAGCAACTATACAAAGAGAAACCATGCATCCCATGTACAGTCACATTGCTTGGTTCCCATTCTTGAACTATGCACCAATTCTGACTATGCTACATACTGGCACTTTTCGTGTCTTGTAAATATTTACCCAGTGAATGACACATTTTAAGCAGTGGGAACAAATTTTCTGATTTTTAAGGGTTTCAGTATCTATTAGACACATATGATGAAATCTAGATGCAATTAGTAGTAGGTGGTCACACATTACGTCATGAGAACACTTAATTCTCCTACTCTTTTTAAAAAGTTCTGTAGTGTCATTGGTTAAAAAAAAAATGTACAATCTAGCAAACTGAAAAAAAAATAGAACTTCCCAATTTCCATCTACAAAGATTATAGCTGATATTCCAGTGGAACTTCGGTTTCTTCTTGGGTTTTCTTATTTATAGGGGACAATTTTTTTTTTTAAATTTTGGTTCTCTTCTCAGGCATCCAAAGTGAGTTGAGCTTCACTTACTGAACATAGGAAGACAGTGGTGAGCTAATGGACACTCAATGTAATGACTCTAATATGGAGATAAAGTGCTGAAATAATTTATTAGACTTCCAAAACCACAATAGGAAAGTGGGACTGCTAGAAATTGTAGTAAAGAGAGTAATTCAGAAAAAAAAAAGTAGATGGCAGCTTCACCACAACCACACATATGATAAAACCACAAAAACATACAGCCCTCTGAGAATACTTTGAACTAACAAGGAATAACATTGCTAGGCAAAGCTCACTAATTAACTGCAACCTGAACTCCAGTGTAATTTATAAAAAGATGCTTAGCCTTGTGAGCAGTGAGTCAAAGGAAAAGTTGCAAACAGTTTACATAATGAAAGGCATTGTGTAAAACTGTTTTCGTCTTTGTTTATGCTTACTACACCAAAACTACATCTTCTCAGAATTTATTGCATGCTAATAAGAAAATTATTATTTTTAGTTAAATCCCACAGTTGCAAGCAAACTCCCAAGAGTGCTAATTGCACTTTTAAATGAATATACAACATATGAATATTAGCAGGAACAGTTAATTAACCTCATATTGCTGTTTAATCTACTTTGCAGAAAACTTCAAATCTTCTCTTTCATAATGTTTTGCTTACTAGGTAAAAAAAAGCATATAAGAAAAAATATCAAGTGTCATTTTGCTTTAGTGTGGTAATCTGCAGTCTATCCACTATGTTTACTTTGGTGTTCTCTTAAAGAATTTAATTTATTTTTAATGAAAAATACAAACTAGACTTTAAAACTACCTGTGGTAGTTTCAGAATACATCTGCAAAATCAACAGTGTTTTGACTTCATACCACAAAGATCTTTGTCTTTTCCCTTTCTTTAGTACCAAAAGAACTTTCTCCTTACGCTTTAAAAGGAGGCAACCTATGGATTTCCAATTCAATATAGGGATTAGGAGAAATTATTTATACACAGTGAGGTCTGGACAGGGTGTGGAGACAATGGCAGCCTCCTCCTGCTGAATCTTTCCAAAGCATCAATGTATTATTCCAAACATGATAAAGAAATTGTCCTAAATTTGTGCCAGAACAAGGACTTTGTGTATTAGGAAACAAAGTCACACAGTGTTTCTATGAACAATAAAGAACTCTGAAGTCCTTCCAGACTGTAGTATTTACTATTTTAACAGTTTGTTAAATAAACAACAGTTGCTTTTATTTTCTCAATATAAGAATACCAAATAACATAGATATAAAATCAGAATCATATTATTATTTCCAAATGTTGCTCTGACAAATTCATTAATCCTGAAAACTTTTGAAACCTTTCTTTTTTCAGGCTAAAGGTTTTAAAGTGTTTGATATTAACTACACAGGTCAAACTCCACTACAGATAAAAGACATTTAAGACATGATGTTCACCTTACAGATGTTCTGACTACATTTGTGAACTTCCACACCACCACCTGTTACAGAAACAAGACATCTAAAATGAAATCTCACTCCTTAAATCATTATGATTGCAGTTTGAGAGGAAAAGACAGACAAAAGAAGATCAAGAAGTTCCAGAGAGCCTCTGTCACACCTGATAACACATTTAGGCTGTCACACACTGAACAAATGCAACTGGGTGGACAGATACGAATGAAAGAAATTGAGGTTTTTTTCCTGACTGCCACTGAAAACACCAGGATAAGTCATGGTAGCATTTCATTAGAGATTCTGATAGCTAAATGATTGTTTAACCCAAGATATACTTTTAAAGTGTATACATTTCTCTACAATTGCATAAACTGTATTTGAGGTATCTCAAATTTACATCACATTGGCTCATGACATACTTCATTTAAATAAAGATACACTCAGCAGGATGTCACCTTGTAGAAGTTCTAAGCTCTGAAATGTAAGAAAAATCTTGCTAAGAAAAACTGATTTGCTTGTAATGGAATCTTACTCTGCTAAGACATCCCATCTGAGAGTACACTGCTGGGTTTGACATTTTTGAGCATACTTATATTTTATATACTTGCACCAATTATGTTTAAAAACAGCAATAAGAATTTGAATATTAAACTGCTAAAACACTGAACCTGACCACCCAGGAACAGGTAATTAATCTTCTCTTCTCTTGTCCCACAGTTAACAAAATTAATATGGATCACTTTTCTAAGGAATATTCTGATGGTAGCTTGCTGTATTTGCCAGAGGCACGGAAGAGTTTTCAGCCCTCTCTCTCCCTCACCATCATCAGAGAAAGTTAATTAGCTCCTGCTAATTCCACTGCTGCTATGCAGAGAATTTCTATGTTTCACATACTAGCACAGCTTCTCTGTGACCCTTTGATCCCAAATGCCAGTTATGCAGGAAGTAGGCTTTTCTGGAGAAGTTTACATCTTTAGTGCCTCACTGTCCTCGACAGCTTGCAGCCTAGCTATTCACCACCCAAAACCAATCCTTTGAGCACTTTTATGGACACTGGTGTGAAAAGTCAGGTTTTCTCTGTTAGTGAAGAGTATTTTGATTCCTCTTGTCACAGTATATTTAGGGCTGGGATTTCCGACAATTCATGGTAAAACCACAGCAGGCAACTAAGTACCACTCAGCCACTTGCTGACCTCCCCCAACTCTGTCACAGAGGAGAACTGGAAAGAAAAAGTATGTCTCATGGGTTGAGATAAGAACCGTTTAATAACTAAATCAAAATACTATTATAATAATAGTAATGAAAATGAGAGAGGAATAAAACCTCAGCGAAACACTTCCTGAGTTTGCCCATGGGGATGTTGTGAGAGACAGTGTCAAAAGCCTTACTGGAGACCAGGAACACAATATCCACTGCTCTCCCCTCAGCCATCGAGGTAACTGTTCCATCGTGCAAGGCAATCAGGTTTGTCAACCATGATTTACCTTTACTGAATCCATGCTGGCTACTCCTGATCACCTACTTGTCATCCATGCGGATATTGATGGCCTCCAGAGCGAAGCACTGCCATCACCTTTCCAGGGATTAAGGTGAGACTGACTGACTGGTAGTTCCCTGGGTCCTCTTTCTTGCCCTTTCTGAAGACCAAGGTGATATTTGCTTTTTCTCAGTCCTCAAGCACCTCTCCTGAACAGCATTATTCTTGTACTAAATCCAACACACAGCACTGTACCAGCCACCAAAAAGAAAATTAACTCTATCACAGCTGAAACGAGGACACCAAAGTGATCCACTCATTCACTTGAGCAAATATTCTCTCACAGGTAAACTAACTTTTAACATTTAAATCAGATAAGGAGAAACACTTGAGAACTGCTGTGTCATTAGCATTAAACATGAAATTTGCTTAATACCTACACAGCACTGATACCAGTCTTTAACACCATGCTACATTTCTTTGAAGACATAAACTTTCCTGTCTTTGGACAAAAGCCTAAAACAGATTTCTCCAAGAAAATTTATTTCACATAAGCATCAATTACAGTTACTCAAGTTACCTGAAGTGTATACTTCTGTATTTCATCCAGAACAAATTCCACTTCTTTTGAGGTTGTTAATGAGGCAAGATTTCCACTTAAGTTGTAGCAATACAGCTTAGCATTGTCATAGCTTTCACGACTAGAATTTATGTGGAGGCAGGCATCTCCAATATGACTCCATCTTTCTCCACACAGATGAGCTAGTGCAAAAAGCATATGATTAAAGCTGATCTGAAAAAACTTCTAAAAAACCCAAGGGAGTCTGAATTTTAACTTCCCAAGATCATAAATCAAATACATCCCACACTCAATTTTCCTTTTCATGTCACATAAATTCTGAAATACCAAGTAGCATCATACGAATTAGTGTATTTTTATGGAAAGAAACTTATAATTATTTTTTACGTTTTTAAAAGATATATGCTAAGTTTCAGCATAACAATATTCTTTTGTCAATATTTCTTCCCTGCTCAGAATTGAGCACAACATTAAGATGAGATTATGTACATAAATAATAGTCCCTTTACTTCAGTTTTATGTAGAATTAAGAGATCACTACTTTACCCCACCTTTATCATCCTATCTACGCATTTATATTTGCCTAAATACAAATGCAATTAGAATGATAGGAAATTCTGATAATATCTTGAGAACATTTCCTCTTCAACATTTTACAGCTTTATTCACACTCAGGTAACTATTAAAAGATAAGTAAGTAATTCGGAGCAACTGTTATAGTCAACCTTTACAAAGAATGCACATATTCAGTTTTAAACTGCACAGAATAAACTGATTGAAATTATTTAATGAATAATCTCTGTAAAAAAAATGTGTTAATTAATTTTATCTGGACATAAAGATCAAACGGAAAAGGTTCTGACATCTAACTGCATATACGTAGTTATGAATATAAATTACAGAATAAATATTATTTCAGAATCTTAACAGTCACCTTCTGAGAATATTTCATATTAGCATTTTAATATTCACTGCTTTCATAGTAGTATCAACATTAGACAATCAAGAAACTAGATCTTGGGCCCTATCTGCACAGGAAAATTGAAGTATAATTGAATTACAATTTATAAAGTAAAACCAGCTAGCAGAAGTAACAATGTCAGTACATATGTAACAGTAAAACGCTCAGTATGGCAATTCAGCTCTGCACTCAGTGGTCCCCACAGGCTGGAGCTTGTCACTGGCTTTTACAGAGGCACATGCCATTATGCCTTGGCTAATGTTATTATCCCTCCTAACCAGATTAAAGGTAGCATTGATACCCCAAACAGTGGTGTAATTACATCTGTGTTCACCTGTACAGGCACAGACAGACAAGGCCAGTCAGAACAAATAAACAAATCCAGGTCTACTCATTGAATCAATATTCTTTGGCAACAGCAAACAAGGTTTATTCAGTTTTGAAATCAATTCTGAAAAGCAGCATGGCCACCCCACAGCCCTTACCAGGTAGTGCCTGGCACTCCTGCTGCCTCTGGTCCCACTGGCAGTTCAGGTGCAGGGAGCAGCTCTTGCAGCTGGTCAGTTTATTGCAGATCTGTTCATTTCTCACGTGACATTTGGTGTAGTTTTTAACTGACTATAAAGATAAAATGGACAAAACAGGATCTCAAGCATAAGTCAAACTATTAAAAAGACAGAAGTCAAAACTGAAATACAGAGCAGGTGGATCCCTCCCAGAAAATCATGGCCACCTAAAAGCCAGGTTGAATTTAAGCTCTTTGTCCAGATTCCTTTAGCAGTTGCTCAAAGTAAAAAATGCATCTCTAGAGCACAAATCACCCCATCTGTTCTACACAACTATGAGTGTCAAACTACTTTGAAGAGGTCAATTCCCCGTACCAGGAAGAGCTTAAACAACTAAACTAAATCTCTGTTTCTAAGATAATTACACTCTCACTAAATTATTTCATCCTATGCAGGTTAAAGAAAGCATAATAGTCAAACAGAACTTAAAAATGCACAAGGTACAAAATAATTACATATCATTCACCAAAGCTGCAAGAATATGCTCTACACATGACATAAAACCAGGGATAACATTATATCTCTGTTACCTCAGCATACAAGCAAAGCAGTAACATTGAAGGAATTATTACTTGTGGGGTTTGGTGGGTTTGGTGGTTTTTTTTCTTTTTTTCCTGAAAACTGAAGTCTCCCTTTCCAAGTTCAGCATTTTGGATACAAATCTTTCTTCCCTGTGCATACTACTTTTAATTAAGACATGATATTGATATTGTACTTAATGAACTGCTCTAAATCCTCAGCCAATGCATCAGCTCATCCATAAGGCTGTCTCTACCAACTTAATTTCACAGTAATAATTAGAAGTAAGTCCTAATGCAAGACAGCTTTATACTCACAGAACCACAGAGTGGTTGAGATTGGAAGGGACCTCTGCAAGTCCTTCTTGTCAAACCCTCACAACTCTTGTCTCTCTCTAATAACAAAAGATTAAATTAATGCATAGCAGCAAAAATGGATTGCACTTGGATTGCAAGTGCATGATTTACTGAAAATTTTGGTTGCTTTCCATTCTAATAGTCTCCTGGAGTATGATTAAACAACATATTAAGGGACAGTATGACAGTAAGCTACACAGTTGCTGGTACTGGAATATGGACACTGATAGGGAAGGGGGGGAGGCAAAAAGTCTCCTTTTATTTTTTTTTTTTCCAAAGTCCTGAAATAATGCAATTGTTATAATGAATTCTCAATCTCACACAGAACCAGCTTCATTCCTGGGGAAGAACACTGCTGTTTAGGGACCTTACTGTATTTTAATTTTTTGCTTTTATTGGATCAGATGCTCACCAGTAAGTTTATTATAAAAGGTACTCACTATTTTTTTGTCCTATAAAAATGGCTATTGTGAGGCAAAAAGAACCAGAGAAGCAGTTCTAGTAGAAAGCATCGACACCACAGTACGAAACAGAGCCAAAGAAGATGCCATCAAGTAACAGAATGTCTATTTAGGCCAATAAATGCATATAGACAGTAAAGCACAAAAACCTTTGGTACAAACCCACACTCAGTTCCACTCCATCGTGAGGCACACTCACAAAACTCCTGAGAGATGCTTTGAAGTGAATTTTAGAGCCTAAGTAACCATCATCTGCTCCCCTACAATATCTCAACTAATACTCACCTTTAACACTTCATGTTGACATACCCTTAACATTCAGATTTTTTTAAAAATTACATGCTCTTCAGTGGTATTACACACAGATTACAATTTTCCAACTAAACCAAGATATTTGTTCTTTTACTTTCTAATCATGAAGCTTGTTATGTGCTGGTTATTTAATGTTTAAAATAAAATTCAAAGCAGTAGTGGCTATTCTATAATAATGTTCCTTCTTGTATTCCCTTATTCCCAGCACTTATTTCCCTTAAATCCAATTTAAACATTGCTTGCCTGAAAATCTCATTAGTTCAATGTAGATGTGAATCCAATAGGTAACTCATATTAACACAATATTAAGGTTATAACTTAAGCTACCAAACTCAATGAAATTTAAAAAGATGACAGCCCATCTGTTACAGAAGTGTTATATTGCTCTAGGATATTTATAACGTTTACACACCAAAATATGAGTAAATCATGTTCTGTATAAAGCTTCCTTCTTATGTCTGATTTACTTAGATCTTTTAAGTACTGATCCTGATATGGTGATATATAGACAGACTTACGGACTAAAGTGATTTTTCTGAATATTTACTGTAGAATGAAAATACTACAGGAGTTTATCTTAGAATTTCAGAAATTGCTATTCAATTATGTACCTCTTTCCTCCCCCTGGACTTTTCAGTTTAACAGTACACCTTGTCTAGTTTGTCTAGTACAACTGTAAATTATTAACTTGTAGAGTTGTATTATTTCTCTGAAACTACTCCCAAAACTTGCCACTGGATACTCCTTAGTAATAGATTTGATTCTATTCATATTTCCTTCTACTACTTTATACATCTTCTCTTGACTATTCTTTGAATTCCTCAAATGTCGGCAGATTGCTGTAATTATTATTATTTGTATTAGTGTATCACCCAAGGACTCCCATCATGAAAGAGAGCAATAACTTTCTGGAAGCAATGCGAGCATTACAAAAAGAAAATTATTCTTGTCTTTAAGGCACTGTATAAAAATATTTAACAATGTAGGACTATAGTTCTCTTTGAAGCATCCTCTAGGATCCCATATCCCTAAAGAGGATGTTCTTTATCATACCCTTCATGGGTTCAAAGATGCTTAGTTTATGTTGCCACACTCAGATATACAATACTTATACATCACATACCAATTTGTGTTGTATTTAGATGACTGACATCAGCTGGGGCTTTATCACACTGCATGTGTGGAGACCAAGACAATGAAATTCAGAGACTGCTACTTGGGGTAAGAGTGTGGTTGGTCTCAGAGGAGAAACATGTCCCCTTTGGAGCTTCTGAAAGCAATAAGGCTTTCAAAAATGTAATACAGGGTGGATGCAGAAACACTTCAGCTGTGCCTCTTCCCATCACAGTCTCTCCAAACAGGAAAAATCACATGTTCTCCACTTGAAAAGACACATCACAGACCATACTCTGACCAAAAAAATATTATGTTCACATGCTATTGCCAAGTGTTCTTGATCACATTTGAGTAAGTGTTCTCCTTTTACTCTGCCCTCCCCTATGTTTGTTACAGTAAAAGAGTAGATTTTATAACAAGCTTAATCTGAAGAGTCAGAATAAGAGCTGAAATTTTATAAGTGGGGTTTTTCAATTTATTTGCAAGCAATTCTACGGTTTTGAAAGGAAAACACTACTTTCCAAGTAAAGTTTAGTATTATATTACTGCTGAAGTTCAAGCCTGCAGAATACTTTCCTTAAGTAATTAAGGGGACAAGTTACTTTATTTGCAATCTTTTAGTGTGGCAGTTAATATTCCTATAAACTGAAGGTTTATAGGCTAACAATGTAGACAACCAGTGGAGCACATTGTTATAGCTACCCCATCTCCACTGATTACTTCAGTTTTTACTGTAGAGGAGTAAGACAATGGGAGAAGGAAGACATTCTTTATTAGTTCCTGAAGTGCACCCCTCAGGATTGCTGTTTGCATCTGGAGTTTGGTGTAGAAATAGGAAGAGTTATTTTGAGGGTATAAAGAATCAAAATCAATTTCTTTTAGTAACTAGTGCAAGCATTTCCAGTTGTTTCCCAAAGAAAAGGGTGAGGAAGGAGACAAAGAAGTGGGTTAGGGAAATTAAAAAAAAAAAAAAAAAGGTAAAATAAAAGACAAAAAAGACAAAACCTTTAAAGTTCTTTCACATCATAAATATCAAAAAGAAGTCAAGATATCATCCAGTAACAACTTACATGTGCACAAGGTAAATATTTTTACATTTTTCAGCCTATAAGTCTATCAGCACTTGAGCCAATCGGAACTATAAGTGGCATGGTACATGGCCAAACCCAGCTCACCATCTCTTGCATAAGCACAGTTTAAGGAAGGCTGGCATGCAAAAAGCACTCCTGTACTTTCAGGATTTCAATGCAATCACAATTTTCAAAAGTGCCTACATATGCCTGAAAAAAACAAAACAGCTTTATGGCCAGAATGTGGACTTAAAATATTGCTATTCTTAAAAAAAGACTACTCAACATATTGGGGCTCTCTGCCACTTTGTCAACTCCTATTTGGTTCCATTTCTGAAGAGGGAAAAAAAAGGATAAAGCAAATTTTTTACTCTAATATTCAAGCTTTCTCAGGTCTTCCTTAGTAAAGGAAACTTTGCATTTTGTTGCAATTGGTCAGCCCTCTTCAGTCATTTACCATTTTATTTCTCACAAGGTACAAAAAGATTTTGCTACCATGGGGCAGCTCCTCCCTGAGGAGCAGATCAATTCTTTGTTTATTTTTCCATGCTACTATCTCAAGAAAAATGACACCTTGTAAAGGTGCAGCAATCTAAAATGAAATTGATCTCTCCCCAAAGCTTTTTCTTTTGTTCTTTTTTTTTTTTGGTAAGGACTTCTGAGAATATTTCCATTATAAATTATAAGTTTCTGCACAACATGATCAGTAAGGGAGTATCATTCTCACAAGATGTGAGACATATGCAGACATACAAAGTGAATACAGTTTCATAAACATATTAAGTAGATTCAGATCTGGAGATTTTCATCTATATAAAGAAATAAGCAAAATGCTTCAGAATTAGTGAGGACCAGGAAGACACTTAGGATATTATAGAGTACAAATGAAAGTGTCAAAATGCAAAATCAATGCAACAGACTTAAGGACAGTGAACTGCTTGTAAAAGTCAGCATAATCTACTCCACAAAAATCAGAAATATATCACAAGCAGGACACAGAACTTTGGAGGAAAAAAAAAAAGGAAGGAAGATGCAAGACAAAGAATCTGAGAAAAAAAAGAAGATATGAGCATGACAGAAAGCTGTTTCTCCCAATTTTAGAAGAAGACAGAGTGGTGTGTAGTGCTTAGAGGGACACCTATGCAGAAATATTAGGTTTTACAAGTCAATCAAAATATTCCTGTTTAAATTTCCATTCCTGATATAGACAGGCAATGAGTGGGAGAAAAAGAGTAAGTACATTGATCATCAGTTCCTTCTTTGTGACAAAGTGTTATACAATATTCTATGTTTTAAAGCTGAAAATGGTCCCGGGTTAGATGCAAGAGGCTCCCTGAAAGAACTTGAAAGAGGAAACGATAAAGATATCAGTATGTGATATTTCAGGAAGTCTGTACTTGGCAAGAGACACTATTAATGGCAGTATTATAGTTGCTTTTGCCCCTATGGCAAAAAAGTATCTGTATTTGCACATTTTTGAAAAAAGGGAAAATAGGTAATGTTCCCCTTTTTAGCTCCATCAATCTCAAAGACAAAAATTAAATAACTTTTTGTTCTCGGTTTAACTTCAGTGTATTATATAAAGCCACTGTAAGCAGTCTGGTGTAATTTCTCAAGGCCATCTTCAAAATCCTTTTTACAACAGAAAAAACCCTCTAATTAATGGTCAAAAACAGCCAACAAGGCACTACTGCTACGTTGCTCTCCAATCTACTCACTATTCAAATTTCAGTACCGTCTTAAACCACTCTGCTTCTTTAAACTATTTCCCAGTGGGGCAAGAGATCATTCACCCCTCAACATTTGCATCAGACATGACAGGGCCAACAGTATGCAGAAGTATCCCACTTCTGTGAGTTTTACTGAGAGAAAAACAAAGCAGCTTTCCAGTGCTGAAATGAGTCAGACCTCCAGAACAACCTGGCATTGCAAGCCTCTGCTTGCAATTACATCAGATATGAGTATGACATATACCTTGATGATCCATAAGTGTGCACAGTAGAGGACTACAGTGTCCTGTTAACATTCTGACTCACATCAGGTGGTGAATATAGGCAGGTATATGTGCATCATCAATGCATATTATCACTGCTTATGAAGTCCATCTGTCCAAATAGAATTATTTCAGGGAAATTTTCATATTTTACAGGCCTTCCAAACAGCAGAGCAATCACTGTTTTTCAAAAAATCTGTGACCATGATGCCAATGCCAAACTGGTTGACAGCACATCTTTAGTACACTGGCCAGTTTCCACAGGGTGAAAGCAGCAGATTCTAAAATGTTATTGTCTGTCTCATCTGGAGTTCTATGATCTAAGTCATAAATCAAGGCCCTCGTACAGCTGCAAAAATGGGGCTTTCTCCTTGTGATATTTCTGAGTCTAGAGCTTGTTATCCCATATTATCACAGTGCTGTCACAACATTTTCATTTTGTGGGCCTAGTGCAGAAGTAGCAGTCTATGAAAATGGATAATCAGCCTGATCCATTCTGTTTCTTCACATGGAACCATTCTGTTTATGCTATTTTGGTGGGTGTATATCGAAGATGCAAAATCCTTCCTCCATCATCTCATGGCCAATAGACTAATTTTGCAACAGCCACCTCCAATTTGTGAGGGTGCCTCTTTTAAGAAATCATTTTGATGAATCTTCACTATTCCATTCTTCAGTAACTGCACTAACAGCCTCTCCTATCCACTTCAAAGCCTGAATAAAAGACAGGAAATGATATAGAGAAAACCAGTGCATCAGTTGCTAATTAAGCTGACAATCTTAGTCATGAAAGGTTGTCAGAGAAGGACACTGAACTGAGAAACTTGTGCTAAAATACCGAGTGCTTCATATTTATTACGGGATGAAGATGGTCTGCTCCTTAGCAACTGTTCCTTGCTCAGGAGTTGAAAACCATGGTTAGAAAATTAGTACCTAATATAGTACAATGTGTCAGGAAAAGAAGAGCCCTTGAAGATCACAAAGGAAACTAACCATTAGTGCCTGGAATGTGAAATCCCTCTGACAGACTTATAACGTGGCCACTGATGAATTTGTGTCTGCATGGCTTTTATTAGTAGTGACTAGCTACAAATGCCAGTGATTAGAACTGGCTGTGCTCACTCTAAATGGGCAAGATTTGAGTCAGAGTCAATCCAATTCACACCCTAATTTGTCTGTCTGGAGAACAAGACTGATTTGCAACAGGTTCAAGCCAGAGAGCAAGCTACTTTTACTAATGGAAGTGTGTAAAGAAAGGATTTTGAACTCAAGTACAGCTATGTGTCTGCAGCTACCTGAAAAGTATAAGGATGCAAAATTTATAAAGCTAAAATACTATTACAAGCTTGTCAAAAATCAAATGAACACGCAAGAGATGCAGCAGCCGGTCAACAACAACATGAAGTATAAAACTAAGCAATATTAAAAAGAAAAAACTATAAACTTGCTTGAATCTACGGGATCTGATCACTTGTCCTTAAAAACATCAGAACAATCTCACCAAATCATCACAAGCCAGTTACTCTCATGGTTACAGAGGCTCATATTCCTTTAATGAGATGACAAGTAAGTCCATGACTTAAAGAAAAAAATTTCTATGATGACCAATGATCAGAATGCCAAGACTAATGAGGCTGACCCAGTTCTGTATGAAAGGAAAAAAACAAACAGCCACCCTTCACGGGTTTCCACAGTTTCTGCCTGCGTACTGTACCCCACATATGCAGAAAACACAAGTTAATAATGGATTCTGTGACCTTTCAAATGTCATTAATTAGGAGATAATGATATTTTCCTGAGAAATATACAGTGGGCTAAACAAAACCCTAAAGAATAATTTTGTTTACCCTGACCTAGATTTTTTTTTGCCTTCTGCAATATTTTTACTGCAAAAGCCTGACAAACATGTTGATGCTTGTGCTCAAAACAAGTAAGTATTATTCTACAATACCTAGAAAAGGAACAGTACTGATAACATGCTCAAAGATTTGCAAAGACTCACCATGCTACAGTTACTATTTGCCGAAATGCACTTCTTGTCATCACACCACTGGCACCCGTTTGTGTTGGCAGTGCAGCTCGCACAGTCCGCGTACCGGTAACATCTGTCGTCTGCAGCAGCTGGAACACAAGTAACAGTCAAAAAGAAAGGTCCCACAAAAGGAGAATAATACCACCTTTTAAACACTTGCCTAGAGCTTTTCCCATTACATCCTCCATTTGAATTCTAACCATTCTTAAAGGTTTAAGTTACTGCAGGAAATTAATTCTATTCAGTTAATAGGATTTACTCCTTTAAAAATTCCTTTAGTAACAACTGTATCTGAAGGCTCACAAGTTTCATATCAACTGAAGGAATATTCAGATATACAGCATACAAGCTCTCGTAGCACAATGCATAAATTAGGAGTAGGAAGAAGTTTTTCAATTATTCTTTCTTCACTTCTTTAACACAGAAGAAAGATTCTCTTAAGACGCAGGTTTCTGATAAAAATATTAGATGGCTATGCAAGAAGATAAGAAGACAAAAATAGTAAATAAAAAAAAATCTAAGACAGATATTAGCAACACATGGACATTTTATGGTAAGTTAGAGTTCTATCCTTCTCTACAAAACATGTTTGAGAAAGACTTCATGTTAAATTCCTAATACTTGGACTAAAATTCAGATTATTTAAAATAGTTTGAGACACAAATTGTTACTTCTGTTTAAAGGAGATAAAAATCTGAAACATCACCATGATCCAAAATAGGAGAATTTGTACCATTTCCTACCCTGATTACTGTGTTTAACTCCTGTTTGGTTTGGCTCCTTCAGTCTCAGGGTCATGCAGGTTTAAGAGATTCTCTTGCCAGGGAAGCCTTTCCATCCAAGAATCGATCTTTTGAAAACTCACTAAAATTTCTGCTTATCCTTTAATATTGACCATCAGCAGTTTCTCAGATGATATTCTCAACCAGGTAAAAATTGAGCCAAGTGATGTAAAATAATATAAGAAAAATTGGCTTTTGGCAAAAAATTACCGCCTGAAACCAGAAGAATTTGACAGCACTGAAGCAGTGCTGTTCGTGCAACTTCTTTGGAACTGGAATTCTACAGACCTCACGTCTTGCAAGCTGAGTTGTAGTTTATTGCCACTGCAGCAGCTGTACTTTAGAAACTGCTCTAACTTTTTTATTTTCCTTCAGCCTTTCTGTCTGTGCCTTGTTTTGTTTCAGGGTTTTTTAAGCACCTGTTGATATGATCAGCTTTTTATAAGATCCACTTTCATCTGTATTGAATTTAATGCCTCAAGACTTTTATTTTTTATATATATATATGAAACTCATTACGCTTTAGATCTTTAAATGTTATGAAAATGTACAGAAGTAGTTTTCCAGAGAACTTCACCTGGATAACATTTTTGTTATATCACGCACCTTTTATTTTATGAGTTTGCAACTTTATAGCTAGTCCAGAAACTAACTTAGCAAAAGCTAAGAGGAAAATAAACTGTCTTGAAGTGTTGATTAATAGCAGTGCTAATAACTCTTCAATAAGCATTAACATAGACTGCCAGTTTAATTGTATGGCAGTTTGTACATACAGCACACAGCCAAAAGCAATTTTACACTGTGTTGAAAGGAAAGATGCACAGAAAAAGTAGTAGGTTCATGTAGCAGCGATAAATATTCTGTTCGTGTGACGCATAAGAACAACACTTTCACAAGCAATTTATTTATGACAAGCCAAAATGCTTTAGGAATAAGCTGTACAGTTATTCACAACACTAAATTGCTCTTTCAAACAATACAGGATAGAAATTCATGACAAACTTGAACCCATTCTGACATACTGCAACAAAGGGATTGTTTGTCTCAAGTTTTTTTCCAGCTGAGACTGCGCTATATTCTTCTGTACGAATGCTACTGTTTGATAGACAATCTATTTGAAGCAGTCTTGCTTTCCTTTTCACTTATTGACACATACAGGTATGAGAGTTTCATGTGCCTGTAATGCCAGGGATCACCTGCAGTGACCATTTGTGCTCTGACTGCTGTTATGCTTTCCCTCAGCACCTTAAACTTGTGCTCTATTGCACCTACTTCCCTGTATTTAAAATACAAAAAGATTCCAGAACTGAATGATTTAAAAAAAAAAAATCTTCTATAAATCTCTTACACTGGGTATTTCCAGAGAGGAACAGTCTTAACATTCCAGTGGTTACATTTTTTGGGAGTCGTTTGGGGGTTGTCCACCACCACTTCCCACACCCCACCTCCTACATCACAGTGCAAATCTGACACTAAAAAGACTGGAATTCACTTACCTGTTTTCTTAGGACATTTTGCTCTAAGGATGTTATTAGCATGTCCAGATTCCCAAGATTCACAGTGTTTTTTATTCCACAGGCATCTTATTCCTGGACGAGCATTTTTACACAGCTCTTCATCTCTGAATGCCTCACAGTTTGGAGGCTTGTACACGAGGATGTCATTCAATAGAACACTTGAAAAACCCCCAAATATATACATGGACCTATTAGGAAAAATCAGTTAAATATAACTGTTACTGTAGACATATTGTATTGATTTATCTGTCTTGATATACTATTTAAAACCCCACATAATATCATAAAAAACTTTCTTCATCTTTCGCTTATAAACACTCTGTCAGTGGTTCCTTTAATTATTAGTTTTTCAATTTATTTCTCCATAGAAGTTTAGACTAACAAAAAATTGCTGGAAGCTCACTGTGATGTATGTATTAGGAAGTGGCATACACCAAATTTTTGGAAAGAACAACAACGAAGAGCTTTGGAGGAAACTCTTCAGTTTTGCAGCTCAGTAATGAGAACAGAGCATGAAATACAAGAACATTTTTCTTCACAAAGATTTCAAAGACAGGCAGCAAAAATTCACAAGATGGATATTTTTTTTGGTAATATTTCTGGTGCAGTAGCTGCTGACATCAAAACCAAGACCTTGAGTCCTTAATCTTCTCATTTAAAATTACAAACAATCTTGGGTAAAAGATAGCAATAGAAAACCTGTGTATCTCTTGTATCATATAATCTTATAACAGAATTAATCATAGAGTTACCAATAGCAGAAATCTGGAAAGTATCTTGCATTGCACTTTTTCGTACATAAAAAGAAAAAAAAGGAATTTTCACCTTGAGTATAATTCATTCAGAGTGACAGTTCTTGAAGTATCAGACATAGCTGAGACGTCATAAAAGGCACAAATCAGAATGAAAAACTAGCACTTGCTGAATTCATTAATTCCAAGCAATTTTCTCTTAATGAATAAATCTGTTCATTGATTAATGTCAAGTGCTCTGTGTACAGACTTACAACCTAGTGTTATTTTTGTTAAATGCAGTCACACTCTTATTTGTAGTGTGACTTATTACCTCTGTTATTTCTGACCTATACAATATCCCTAGGCAGAGGATCTGTTAAGTGGCCCACATATACTTAATACTGAGTTTATTAGTGGGATGAATAATGTAGAAGAGGTACAATGATCTAGAGCACTGCAACTATCAGATATCAGGCAAGTTGGCAACCAGCAAAAGTAAAACTGGCACAAGCAACCACTACAGATTCCTTTAAACCTGAACTCTGTTTTCCACAAATTTTCCAGTAAAAAGGAGACATTTGTCCTACAATTTTAACTTTAGGGATTGGGGTAAAAGAAGCAGAGCTCAGCCACCAAATCCAGAAAACTCCAGATCCACTCTACCTGCTTTTCTAGATGATGAAGCTTTACTGTTCTTCTCTACTCAACATGAAATGACATGAAAGAATGCTACATTTTCTAGAGGATAAGTAACATACTTATTATTGTCTAGATGCTGGCAGGCTTTTCCTCCTGCAAGTGGTTAAAGACGATAACTGTATCAGTATCATCCAAATATTGCCTTTTTCCAAACAAATTTTAGTTACATGGTTACTTTATGATTGTAGAAGAACAAGAAATTATAGTATGCTGCAAAGAAAAAAATATTTCTCCCACTACAACTAAGTGAAGGTTATAGTTGGTACCAAATATCAAATTCACTGTAGCTCACAATACTGAGGAAATGCCTCAGTACACTAGAAGGTTAACTTAAAATGCCATTGAACAGATTCCACAGCATGGTAGTTTATGATGATGATTAGCTGGACTGATTACCTAAGACAAGTAAAGACTCTGACAAGCACTACTTTTCCCTTTAATAACTTAGATCAGTTCTATGTCATTGAACCATACTTCAAAAAAGTCTAATTTCTGCTACGGGGTTTTTGTTTTTTTTCATTCAGAAAAGTGGTGAGGAAGATTTAAAAGACACTTCATTTACCCGTTACTGACAACAGCAGTGTGACCAAATCTGTTGACATCTCGATGCAGATTAGGTTTTGGCAAAACTTTCCATTCGTCACAAGCTGAAAGACACAACAAAAATATATGAAAACATATATCAAATAATCTGAAAAGTTTTCAGCAGAATATATGCAAACTATACTTTAATTGCTCAAGAATAAATCAACATGTACTCCTTTTGTTGACTAGGTGCTCCAAGAACCTGTGAGCAACACTGATCTATCCTGACATTTATCAAGGCCACAGGACACTCATGGAAGGGTTGCTTTATTACACAGAGTTCTCTGCCTTCACAGCCAGTTTCAACATCCAAAGCAACAAGCACTGCCATCATTGTTATCAAGTGATCAGTAATAGTGCCCTAATATTTACACACTCTCAAATCAGCCACAGGATTTCAATTCATACACTTTCAAGGAACATCTATGACAGTGAACTTAGTTCTTTTCATAAGCGTTTTAAGACAAACTACCACACCTTCAGCTGTGCAACCCAACACATTATTGTCTTACTTTGGATATCTTGGTTTAAGAATGCTAATATTTACTTTCCTTTCACCACATATTTGAGATGAATGCCATATTTCCATGTTAAATTAACCATTCAAGCATATTTCTTTTAGTACTGCTGTAGGAACATTTACAAATATGGTTCTGGTGTAGTTTCATTTTCCTTTCCTGACTGGAATATTAGTTCTTTAGAACAATTAGTTCCTTCTTCATTATTTCCTCCTTGAACTTTACAGACTTCAAAAATTCAAATCCCACAACAATAGAAATAAGGAGCACCTGCAGATTGAAACTTCAAAGAAATATCTTTAAAATGGAGCAAAGAAAGTACTTTTCTACAGAGCAAGCAAAACATTTCCAGAATTCGTCATAACAGATTTTGGAGGGTAAACTTTCAGGAAACCTTTCAGATCAGGCAGAGGGTTACAGTTTTTTTATTAAAAAAAAAAAAAAATCTGCTATACACACAAAGATAGGGATTAAATCCAAAGCTGAAAACAAGTTAAAGGGAGAGAGACCTCTCCAATTTAATCCAAATAAAAGCATGGCTTTATTTATATACAGAGAGACATACTTTATTCTAAACCAGTGGCAAAGCTATCAACTTGGACATGCAGAAAAAAGAATACCTATTTGGTCAGCATACTCTTCCTAATACAGAGAAGTGGATAAGTGGGTAAGTGGATAGAGCACACGCATATAGAAACTGCAGAGTCAGAATTAGTAACACAAAGCAGATTAATACAAAATATTGGTATTTAGCCAATGGATTCCTCGTAGGTTTTGGTAAAGAATCAAACAGAATTCATTCCTGTTCATCATCTTCAAACTTGTTTTAAACATCCCTAAGTACCCAAATTTCCAGACTTCACTGGACTGCTCCAAGAAGAAAGTGCCAAACAGTGAATGTAGCATGAATTACATTATTTATCAATATTACAGCATTCTATGTGTTTTGTATGTTGTATTAAGTCTAATAATGATGGTTAACTCTATGGAACAAAGAATAAAATACTTTCCTCGATAAAATGTTATGCACTCTTAAGGTATTATACAGATAGTAAGGAGAAGGAAGATATGGTATTCATTGTATTTACCATTGTCTCTGTATGTAACCAAGTACAATATAAAGCACATGAAAGCACATACTGCTTTTAATAGAACTAAGCAGATGAAGGAACAATACTATTCATTCCAAACTGATTTGCAGAATTTTTAGTCACTGAAAAGTACAAGGAGAAATACTGGGGTTTTTCTCTCTGTTACTAGGGCTTCTACTTCAAGAACAAGCAGTACCACGTTACATCATTAAAAGAAAAGGTTCATATTCCCCCCCAGTGTAGATTAAATGGTTACCAGATGACACAGAAGTGGCTCTCAGAGTGAGCTGCCAGTCACACAAATTTGTTATGTGATGAAGCACACTATAGAAAGGCACTAGATATAAAGCAATCCAGCTGATGCTGGCAGAGAAAAACCTCAACTGAACTTTGCACAGGGTAATGCACTCCAGGGTCCACACTCCAACAGGTCAGGCCTCAACACGTCTCATGTACAACCTACTGTCAATATTGCATTCCTGATATCAGAGAGGACCAAGACATTTCATAGAAAACCTCTCAGTGCTGCAACAATATACATTTGTTACTAGAAGCTTTCCCACTATCATTTTATGGGGGGGGAAACAGAAAACCTAACACATTTCTAATCAACGTTGTCATATCAGTAAAACATGGATTTGTTTTTAAAAATCTAACTAAGACCAAATTTACCAAGATGTGACTGGAGGAAAAATAGGACAAATATAGCATACTAGCTCATCCGGTTAGTCGTACAAGTCTTTTTATGAATGTTTTTTGCTCCTCAGACACATAGTTAAACATAATATTAAAAACCTGTCTAGCAGTGGAGGGCAGTCTAAAGTTTGAGCTTGCCAGTCATATCTGATTTTGAAAAATGTATTACTTAAACACTAGGGCAGAACTGGTGCAGAATCAAGTTAACAAAGCTCCATTCAATTCATGCCTGAGTTAAGTTAATAAAGCAGTTCTGAAAATCATAAAAGATGAGCACCCAACTATCTCAAATTTAAATTTTTATAGAGAAAAATCTAAGAGAGCTGCATATCTACAAGCTGTTTCAAAGGTGATTGCTCTCCCATTTCTTCATCTGATTTATTAAGTGCATTAAGGACACCTTAATTATTTTCAATAACTAAAGAAACTATGAGAATAACCCTGAAAATCTTGACAACTCACTTCCAAATCTACAATATTTTCTAAAGAATAAGAGAAAAATCAAGGAACTGAAAAAGTCCCCTTGCAGGAAAAACCATAGAAACTCAGCTGAAAAACTGTAGGCATTGAAAAGAAGTTTATTTACAACTCATCTTCATCCCCTACCCCACAATGCCCAATTCTGCACTCAAGCCTGAACAGAAGCACCATGGCCATCTCAAAGTGATACTCTCACAGCACACTTTAAATAATGGAAAGTGTTCATACTTCCAAAACACGATAAAAGGAAAAAGACTTGCTTTATATAGTATAGCAGTAGTTAGAGTAATGACCCAAGATGTAGGAGAAAAAGGTTCATTTCCTACCTGGTGGGATTTAAACCTAAAGTTTTCATCTCTGAGCAAAAGTACCCTCACTGTTCTAGTGAGGTAACTTTTCACTATGCCAAGTTAATGCTGTTCCACTGAACAGATAAAAAAAACACAGAAAAAATTAATATTGCTAGAAATAGGAAGTTGTTAAGCCTCTAAAAAAGTGGCAACCGATGTTCCATGCTTTACCTCTAGAATCAAATTGGTATTTCTGCACTGGCAGCCTGATTTAGTGACAAACTCTTACTACATTTGGAGATAAGTTTTAAGGGAAGGTATATGAAACTACCTACTTTATGTTTACATTATCAAATAATTTCTCAATTACAAACAATTTAAATAGATTGAAATCCCAATGTTTTTATTCTGCTTAATCACAGTCTGCAACACTGGCAGTGCAGCCTCATGTTCTACATAGAATCCAGTGGCAGCTTAAGCTTCTATTTTCTCTTTGTGTATTTCCAATAATTACTCAGTCAGTTTTTCTCTGGTAACAGAAGTAATATTGGCTCACAAAGTATGGACACCATTATACTTCTGTCTAGTTCTTTTTCGTGACTCTAGACAACTAAAGACTAAACACAAACAACTAAAAACATCATGAAAGTTAGTTAGTAACAAAAAAGTTACTTTCTGATTCTTTCCACACTGCATAAATATTTTTCTTTAATAAGATAATAAAAATCTTCTTGCTCTTAGGAAAACACGAAGACAAGTATGTTCAGAACAGCATGAATTGAATTTAAACTATAGAACTAACATCTACAACAGCATCCACACACAGAACAGTGACTCCCTAAGCAATATAAAGAAACCAACAACCTTAAGCTTTACTATTAAATGGAGCAATTAGTGCATTACATTATTATGGCTTTGCTCTTCTAATAGCACAGCGATATGGAGGTAATTGCTATTACAGACTGCACCAGAACTACATTTATGACTTAAGTGCTCAGGAACACATAAAACTTAATCTTTCACAGCGGCTGCTTTACATTTTCTTTTTGATGGCACATTGATAATCCATTTGTACCTCCAGAAGGAGGGAGAATTGCAAATATAAATGGGTTTACATTGGAAAAAAATAAATTTACAGACGTTTAAACTTGCTCATTTTGTCGATGACAAAGACTAGAAGTGAAACAACTTCTTTTACAAGCAAACAATTTATGAATAAACAATTCATTTTATTACAAAATACAAGCAATAGGTTTGATTACAAGTGGAACTAAAGTCAATCTCCTGAGATAATTTTGATTTTTTTTTTTTCCAAAAAAGGAAAATGCTTTTAAGCTTTGTTTGAATACCCTGGAATAAACTTAATATTTCACATGTAATATTGTCTTTCATAAGCAATTGAATTTGCATATTACAAAAGAAACATTGTGGAGTGTATTATTGGTGTAAATATATGTGTTATTGCACTTCTGCCATAGATACAAACAATGCTGAAATACAACAACCGTTAGGAGAGAACATAGAAACAGCTGCCATGTTCCAATGACTTCAGTTTTTGGCTTTTATAGAGATTCCCTGTCAGTATTTCTCTACACATTTCTAGGGTATCCAGATACCTTAGCATTGGCATATGTGGAACAAAAGGACAGACTAAATACTTCATAAACTGAAACTTAAGGAACTTAGGCATAGAGATATATGCCTACTAACAGTATCATTTGGCCAGGAACTAAAATAAATATCCTTAATCTTTCAAAAAAGCATCTAATTATACATACAGATTTTAATACTAGTTTCAATAGTTAGAATCCATTTTAAACTCTGATTCTGTGTGTCTAATAATCTATTTTTATTTGCAAATTTTGCATCTGAATACTCATAAAATATAATCTAAATTACTTTTCTAAGCCCTGATTGAAATAGAAATGCAAGTTTTAAGCACATGGTGGCTCCTGTATCACAGTTCTACAGTTAAAAAAAAAAACAA